ACTGTTACTATATTTAGTAACAGTAAATATAGTAACAGTTGATTTTATATAAAGAACAACACTCGATTGAATAAACAAACAGTAAGAATCAAAGACACTGTTACAATTCACTGGGAAAAGAGGGCGGAAGGACTGTTACTATCAAGCAGTTAGTACAAGATAGCTACAGTTGATACTACAATAGAATCAGTAAGTACAATTATTAACAGTAGCTATAGGTTATAGCAACAGGTAGACTCAGCTTAAAGTAGGCTGGTGTTTTATTGGTAATATCCTTATCAATAATAAACCAACAATCACTATAATGTACTTGATCATAATAATAGCAATGAACATGCACATAGAATCACCAATATACTTATACAGCACTGCAGTATCAATTGAAGTTAGACTTATATTAATTAGGATATACAAGGCAACAGTGAATGATGAAGGCAGGGTGCATTATACTGCTAGTGGTAGGAGCAGCAGTGTCCATACCCCCACCTGATGATCAGTTACATATCTATGCACTACCAGTGGGGCAGGGTGACTCTACTGTAGTACAGTGTCCTAAAGCTGATAACGGAATGATCAGTATCATTGATATGGGATCAAGCAAATCAACAGGATTCAGCAAAGACGACGCATTACGTTATCTAAGCGGTCAAGAAATCAAGTTGATCATGTTAACGCACTCTGATGCTGATCACATCAATTTCATTCAACCATTACTTGATACATACCAAAAGGACTCAGTCCCAGTATACCACTCCTGCCAGTGGAGTAGGTACAGGATATCATCAGATAAAGCAGTACCTCATCGAGTCAGTAAATGCTGTGGAATTGAAGGCTGCAACACTGAACTGGTCCTCTGTCCTAATAGCAATGCTGTACTGCTAGTGGTTGGGTCTGAGCTCAGTAATTGTGGACGAAAACGTAATCGTGACAGTATCTTAGCTATCATCAAGTATCAAGGTGTCAAGACTCTCGTGGTTGGAGATTTTGAAGGTACCAAGACGTTCATTAGAAAGTATCTTGATTGTGTGGGCCACGCCCCCAACAGTGAGCTCCAGTCTGATATATACAGACTGTCTCATCATGGAGCATGGAATGGGCTGGCTAACAGGAGAGAGTTCTTAGCTGCAGTTGATGCTAAGTACGTGTTCTCCAGTAGTGGATTAAAGTCTAACTACAAGCACCCACGCTGTGAGCTGTATGATATATATAAAGGAAGAGTTGCTGTAGAAGAGAAGTATCATGAGTATACTTGTTATAAGAAGTATGGAGGTGCTATTACTTATTATATTAATGATGCTATTTATGCTACTAGTGTTATTCCATTATTTATTTTCTTACAAATAAATTAATAATGAAAAGACAAACAAGTAAATATTTCAAAATAAAGAATGAATTTTTAAGATTAAAGTACATACAAACCATACATTCAATTAATAAGTTAGTTATTTTTAATTTTTTTGGGAAACAGCAGCTCCAACACCTCCAATAGTACCTCCAACAGCACCTCCAACTACGCCTCCTACTACAGTACCCACACCAGGAGAAACAACAGTACCAATAGCAGCACCTACTTTAGCTCCAACCTCAACTCCAGCACTAGCTCCAATCACAACACCAGAAGTAACAACAGCTCCTACTTTAATGGCTTGACGGTACTTTGCAAATGCTTTTAAGAAAGAGCGAGTCTCATCACTGCAACGATCAATGCACGCGTCCCACAGTGTTTTCAACCAGTCGTCTGTTGTAGGTAATGCTTTTTCATCTTCTTTACCAGTTGTACAATATGGTATATTCTCTAGCACTTCCTTCTTAACACTTTTAGAAATAAAACTAGAAACGCATTCTTTGTATAGCTTTATTTGCTCTCTGAATTCTTCAGCTAGGTCATTATCACCTACACTCCCAAGTGTAAGGAATCGATTTGCTTGTGTCAATACGACAACTGTCCTCTTCCACATTTCTCTATGCAACATATGGGCCAGCTCTG